TCCATAAACGCCAGAGCTCATTTATCCTGACTGGACCTGAAGGGGCTCTGTGCGCGCTAACGGTGCACGTTAACGAGCATCACTTTCCTGCCTTCAGGTGACGTGAAGATGCAGGTGACTGCGGCGTCACGATGACGTGTTTTCAGTGATCTCTTGAATGTTCCTCGTATGTAAACGAAAGCAAACTGAAGAAGAATGAGAAAAGCACGAAGGCAAATATGTACATTAGGATCCCGGAAGTCGCCTCGTTTGGATCCTGTTGGGCTGATGTTGCCTTCAGGGACTCGAGGTAACCGCTACAACTCTTATTGAGACAGAGGAGCTAATTAAAGATCCTATTAATTTAGGAAAATCCTGATTTTAATTACATATCGCAATAATAAACAATAATTTGATTGATACCGTATTAAATGTGTATTTTTTCCAGAATGGTTTAACATGTTTTATCCGTTGAATGTTGAATATCTTTTATTTTACTTTGTGATATTCGGTTGGTTTTCTCTTATTTTATCTACATATATTTATATTTATATTTGTTAGCATATAAAACCCTTATTGTTTTATTGTTTATTTGGTATTATTAATGTGCCTTTAATTCGTTAATACTGAATTTATTTATTTGTTTGTTTACTTGTTTTGTTGCATTTTTTAGCTAACGTGCTTGTAATGCATTCGTCGATATTCGGATAATTTCCATGTTTCCCATTTCCAATTCTCTCAGTGTTTAACCACAAAACTTTTCATTATTATTTTATTCATTTTTTAAAATAACTTTTTAAATTTTATTCATTTGTTCAGTTTGCTATGAAACGGCTTATAAAAGAGTTTGTCTTCTTGTGTCTGTCCTACAAAAACTCTTCTTTTTGGGAGGTTTACTAAATGTTTGGGAATTTTCCATGAAATTATAAATTTAAAAAATCCATATTGCAATATTCCTACGAAAATGCATACACGGATATTACAACATCTCCCTGTTTCTTCATAAAGCAGCTTAGCTTCTTTATTTAAGATTTAAGTTGAAGCTTTAGTGTAGGTTATTTTATTCCACTTTATTGTGCTTGGGTCTCTTTGAGGGGTTTTTATACGTGGCTTTAGCTTCCTGCCAGTTTTGCACAGGCTGATTTTTACTCTGGATTTATGCTTCATTTACTTTCACAAATATTCATACTTGTTTTTAGTACAAACAAATAATGAAATGTGTGTTTGAATTAAACACAATCGCGACGTGAGAGTTGTTACGCTGGAAGCAGCATGAGCGTGAGTTTTCCGAGCTGCACCTGAACGCAGCGGCCGCACAGCGCTGTGGATGAGGCAGATTATCCTCCCTGTGGATCCAGGCAGGCAGGCAGCAGGTGGCTGGAGACAGAAATATGGGAAACGCAGACAGCAAACTTCACTTCAGGAAAGCGGTGGTCCAGCTGACAACCAAAACTCAGGTCGGGGTTTGTTTTCTTTAAAAGGTGACATGAGGAAAGTTCCGCTGAGCGTTTGGCTTTTAGCGTTAGTGGAGATGTGGAGATAAAGTTGCAGTGCCAGATGGCAGCGTACGTCACACAAAGTGGAGAGAAAAACCTGAAAAAATCATTGGAGTTATTTCATAAACGATTATTTTTAAACAGAAAGCAAGCTTGCCTCTCAGAATACGGATTTTTTATTATTCTTATGCAGTCTGAGGGACTCCAAACAGTCATTCTGGACTTTGTCTGTGACGTGATCCTTAAACGGCTTTAATGTGCAGATGGGAATATTAAAGATTGCGTCAGTTTGGGGCCAGCAGTTGTTTCTCTGGCTGACAG